TACCTTAATGAATTTAGTCATATATAAGAACATTTTTTATATCATATATTATACAGCTAAAACGTGCAATCATTTTAAGAATAATTGTTGTTATATTACTGTAGTTACATTTTAATATAAATGGTTTGTCTTGCATTGAAATTAAATGATAAAAGATAAGTGAAACAAATCATTTTGTAGTAAATGTTATCGTTTTAAGCAATTTTAAAAAGTCTTAGAGTTTTATAACGATTCATCTCTTCTTTTCCCTAATGTTCCGCAGTCACCTCGATATCATTTTTCATGGATCGTCCGATACGAGGGCCAGATCATCTTTCATTGTGGGTCTGTCCGAATCCGCGATGGACATAGAATAAAGGTCCCGTTAGTGCCCACGGAGCAGAAAAAGGTTTTGAAAATAAAGTCACTTCGGCGTCAGCAATTCGCTGGACACAATCGACATTAAAATACTACAGTACTTATTAGAGTTTGGAAATTAACGATATTGTCAATATCGATACCGATAAATTACTGATGGAAATTCTCGAATAACCGGTTTTCACCAGTTTCTAATTACAGTTTTTTCTTTAGCGGGAAGGCCTTGAAGTCTTTGTGAACATCGTTTTCTATTACACATATTCTCTGTTTACACAATATGGTAGTTAACCTAATAATAATAATAATAATAATAATAATAATAATAATAATAATAATGACTACTTACATCTGCATAAGCAAACAGCAAATATCAAAATATCAAAAATTTGCACACAAACACAAACTAATACACATTCCGGAATAGTACTATGGTTTTTTAAAACTCTTTCCGCCCTATGGTCACTAAGAGGGCTACCATACTACAAATATACACCTCGGGTAGTCATAGAAAACAACACAAAATATATTTCGATCGAGCCAAAATCAAAGACAAAACAATACATTACAACAGACCAGACACCAAATTCATTGACAAACAAAACAAAACCACATACGTCATAGATAGCTGTTTCAAATTCTCACAACATACAAAATATAAACATTGAAAAAACTTAATAAATACGCAGAACTCGTTCACGAAGTAGTATTTATGGAGAATAGTAAGGTGTTTTTGCATAGATATCATAACACATACGTCACACAAAAGTCTAGAAATATTGATGTATGTGCTATTGTGAAGCCCTAAACTATATAAGGCTGCCATACTAAAAACACGTTATCCAGTCGAGAAATCACTAGAATATATTGGAAATCTAGAAAATTCACTAGGAAATGGTCGGGATGTCATTTATAAAACCAGTATTGGTTTTTCGGTAACGGTATTACTCATCAATCAATCGTTCGGTGCATTCAATTCATAGCAACGCTTTTATAAGTTATAATAAAAGTACCTTTCACCGTTTTCATTCCGAAAGTACTGAAGATCTATTAATTTTGTTAATGTAGTTGTACAGGAAATCTTGCATGGAGAATTAAATAGAATTTTTTGTCAACCTTGAAAATGGTTTCATGTTATTTGTGTTAGGCTATAACTTTTTAACTAGCAGAGATAACGTAAAAGTTCCAATAACAGTCAAAGATCATCATTTTATTAGTCTAAGACCTTTTCCTAGATTCTTAACAAGTTTGTATAAACAGATGTTCAAAATATCAATCCATTTAAAACATAAAACTTTAACTTTACGAGTAAACGTGATTTGTTTTAAATGACCATGGAAATAATTTTCAAATCATCTTCGCATCTGTCCTAGATCGGAAATTCAGTCGGATAAAAGAGATGAGTAAAAGAGAACAAATCATCAATATTTTCTAAGAAAGATAACATCATACATATATCATGATTGAATTAAAAATGAAGAAAGATCTTTAATAGTTTTTAACACGTTTACAATTTTTTTAAAAAGCGTGTTTTTAAAAAATCGGTAAAAAACAGTAAATAAGTTTCGTTAACTGCTAAAAGGCAGAAAAATTGGCTTAAAACTTTTGTGAAAGTCGAGTACAAGGATTTTTCGAAAAGGGATACATGTACCACATTGATGAGGGGAAATAGAATTCACGAAACCCTTTTATGGGAATAAAGATAAAAAAATAAAAATAGACAAGCGTTAAATTGAACAATGTTTCACATAGATCAGTAGAATAATATTAGCATAGTTATTAAAAATACACGGAAAAAACTAACACATCACGTCCAATCACCAGGAAAAATCTAAAAATTAGTATAGTTATGTTGGGTAAAAATGCGTACGTTTGGGTAAGTACTGTACTGTACGTAAGAAAGGCTAAAAATTGCTATCTAAAAAAATTGGAGAAAATGATTCAATTATAAATTGATTTTTTTATTTGTTATCTAAATACCTACCAATGTTACTGTTTCGTTACTTTTGGTAGAAGGTTTATAAACTTGTACTTGAGACACTAGCTATTTAAAATTTGATTTATATTTTAAGAACGTATCCTTGGCTTTCGATTCCTGTTCAAGATTAAGTTGCGCTTACAATCAGTGTGTATACTACGCTGCAAAATAGCAAACCTAGAAAAATATTAAGTACGTGTAAATAGCGTGTGCGTAATTTATTTAAACATTACATAAGTATAAGGGAGCCGCACTAAAGATTCCTGCCCTAGACCGGAGCTTGGAAAAAGATGATTGATTGAATATGGTCAATCTATCGTCTCTTTTATCAATTCCGTACATCAATCCATATATGGCCACCGTAAATATATATCAACATATCTATATGATAAAAATCAAATATATGATCAGATTTTTTATGTTTCATACATACGTTTATGTATACCACAGAAGTACTGTTTTGTAGGTACTGTTGGCATTATAGACATTTTGGGAATTCCAGCAGGAATTCGCTGGAATGGTCTCTCGAAATAGAATTAGATGATTTTCCAGTAACTCCTGATAATCTTTGGCATTCATCTGAACTTTGACAAAAAGCAATAATGGTTTTTACTTTGCCAGCTGATTGCTGCCCAAATCACAACAGACCCATCACCTTGTTATATTTCAAAAAAAATGTTTTTATCTTCGCATAGATCATGCCGGTAATACTGCCATCTATTGGGACCATCTAAATTAAATTTCTTCTTATCACAAAATATCACTGTTTGTTATTCTTCCTTGCGGGTCACTTTCTCTGTTATAAAATCTGGTTTCGTGTGCTCTTGTAATTGCTTTAGGGACAGACTTTTTTTTCTTCTTAAATTTTAAATAGCCCCATAAATTTGCCATTATTGAACTATTTCTGCTTATTTTTGCCATAATTATTTCCTAATTTCAAATAATTATTGATTACACCATGACTTCGGTTTAATTGCTTTGCTATATTTCTGTTTGTCATTCGTCGTGCCTTTAAAATTGTTATCTGTCTCTTTTGAAACTCAGAAAAAGAAAAGTTGTGAGGAATTGTTGCAACTTTTAGAAAATAACTTTATCACCGATGTAAATTGCAACTAATAATACTTAATAGCTTTTTGAACGTAATGAATGATGTCAAAAACTGGGGTTAAATAATTGAAATCAGGAGTTATAAATAAAGTGAATTTATATTTATGCAACGTTTAAAAAGTACATTTTCATTAATTCTTTTTAAAATACTTATCTCTAAGTGCTAAAAATAATATAAAACATCCATAATTATCATTTTATTTGAATTTTACAAGCTTAACAAGTATTAATTATTCAGTCTTAATATAATATATAAAAAAAAACATAGGTCAATTTATATTCATGCAACGCACCATATAGCCTATAGCCTACATATAGACAGATATCATACAGATAATTATACATATAAGATACTAGATACCGAGAATCTTTATAGGTATATTTATCCAGAAGCAATAAACACATGTACACTGTTTATTCATTCAGGAAAAATATATTTAACGACTCCGATTATTTGAAAATTAACTTAAAATTACTTATTGCGACATCGACAGAATGCTTGGCTAAAATTTTTAATCATATTTTATTTTATTTAAAAATAAGTTTTCTATATCTGATCTCGATTTTCATCTATCTAACTTCGTTCTCGAGATTAACGAAAGACATACGGACGACAGTATAAATGTATGGGTCTGCAATTTGAAAATCGCAGCCCATATAATGTATATATTTTAGTGCATTATATTAATTGTATGAAATACAATTAATATAATGCACTCAATGAAATAGTTCTAAGAAAATTAATATAATAATTAATTGGATTCTTTACTTAAACCTAAATGAATATTTTATTAGATAAGTAGTAAATTTTAATTGAGCATTAGAATTTATAAATTATGTATATAGATATTTCGTTAAAGAAAGAATATATATCTTAATATTTTTTCGAAATTACGATTACTAGCAATGTAAGAGAGAATATTTTAAAATAACAGGAAGAGATGATTCCGTCGCAACCGAGAAATTAATTCAAGTCTTGTAAATGAAAACAAAGCACGTTTCCATTGCATAACTCTACAGAATATAAATTATATTTGAATGACAATTAGATATTTATATTATCGTAAATTTCGATCATATGTAGAAAATAAAATGAAATAAATAACTACCTGAAATTGAAAGAAAATTTAATACGAAATATGTAAGCTGTAATTATATAAATTCTAATTCCTTCATTTATATACTAATATAAACTTATTATATTTGAATTAATATTATGCTTTTTGTCCTAATATTATCAATTAATTATCTGAGCAATATAAACAGTTCTTTTTAGGACTTATCACAGACTATCGAGAACCCACTCAGAGACTGAAGTATTTATTTGTAACCATATTATGCATTTCCAGCAAGGCTTTTCACAAAATTTATACCGTGGTAACCACAGTATGCATTTTGTGAAAAGCTTTGGTCTGTAATATATGTGATTAGAGAATAACAAATTAATTCCAATCAAAAACACCGTACAAATAATTGGGAAAGTCTGACTAAGTATGTAGTTATCGATATTATTTATAAAAGTATATTTACTATTTTATATTATTTATAAAAGTGTATTTACTTCTTCTTGTCTAGTCTTGTAAAATTATATACTTGTGAGCACCATGTTGGTCTTTCTTTATTGCTAGACTCATTACACCGTCACTGGACACAAGACCAGCCTTAGAAAATTACTTTATTTTTCCAAAAAGAATGCATTTCGGACTCTAAGTCCCGCATCAGCTTGTTGTAATATAACTATAGGAAAAAAAACATGCAAGTTAGATTATGTTGACAATAAAAATTTAAGGTTGTAATTCAACTTACATAATTATGAAATTGATGCTACCACATTTACAAAATATAAAATAAAATTACGACATTTGGTAAAATATCGATGACAAATCCTTGATTACAGATCAAAATTCTAGGTGTTTGCTACAATATTAATAGGATGTTAACGATTTTAAAATACTGCAAATAACATAAATGGAAATGTTGTAAACTTACATTAAACGTGCTGATTCGATGATTAAGCAGTGTAATTAAAACAAACAGTAAAACAAACGGTATACGTAATAATAGACATTGTTAAAATGATATAATAAAATAATAAACTGATTTTTATTGTTAAAACAGTAAAATAATAAACTGATTCACCGTAAAAACAATAAAATAATAAAATGATTCGCTGTACAATTTATCATTATATTATTTTATTGTTATATAGCTATCTAAATATATAAAACTAGCAGACCCTGCCACGCGTTGTTGTGGCTCAAAATGTATCTATTATAAATGTATAACACTTCCCCGTGTGGGGGGGGATTTTTCGAAAAATTTCTTCTTAGTGTACATTCTCTTGACGTACCCTATTTATTAAAACGCAATCAAAAACGCAAAAACCCGCATCTAAAATAGTATAATAGAAGCCAAGTTCTTCAAGGTAAGCCTTAATTCTGTCTCTCTCCCCCACGGGGGGAATATTGAAAAATCCCTTTTTAGTGTATATTCTGTTGACATACCCTATTAAAACGCAATCAAAAACGCAAAAAACCGCATCTAAAATAGTAGAAATAGAAGCAGAGTTTTTACGGTAAACCTTAATCGTGTTCATCTCCCCCCAGTGGGGGAATTTAGACATGTATATTATATAAAAACACGTGCGTATTCGAATTGTGTGAAAACTTCAAAGGAATTGGTAGGAACAAACGAACATTACATTTTTATTTATATAGATAGATAGAAGATGATCTGCTTTAGTTCATCCTCACAGAAAAGCAAACTTAGGGCGTCATACTCGTAGCGCCATCTGTTGGACATAAAAGCCTTAACCCTAGATGATATCTTTTAATTTATATGAATGTTTAACAAAAAATCTGCAGGTTTGATTAGTGGTAAACATTTCGTGGGTCATAAAGATGCTACAGTTAAAATTTGGTAACGATTGTTTCAGTAGTTTTCACGGTTAGTGGTCGCAAACGAAAAATACGTTGTCTAAATATAGAGTATAGATATAGATATAGATTACTTGTCCCGACTGACTTAGTCACTGACTGACTTAGTCACTGATTCATCATCACCCAGAGCAAACCACTGAACCTAAAGAGGTGAAATTTGGTACACAGTTACGGTACGTCATGGAAATGCACACTAAGAGGAGATTTTTCGAAATTCCCAAGCGGGGGAGAGGGAGAGCATTAAGGCTTAACCGGAAGAACGGCTTCTACTGTACTACTTTAGATGCGATTTTTTGTTTTTATTTGTGTTTTAGTAGGGTATGCCATGGGAATGCACACTAAGAAGGGATTTTTAGAAATTCCCCGCGGAGGGAGAGGAGGAGGATTTAGTCTTCATCGAGTACTTAGGTGTATTAAATTAATAACATTTCAGACATTGTTATAAATGTTTTTATATATTTCGATTTTTTAACCAAATGTTCGAACCGTTTTAAATTCGAATTTGTTATTGCACATTGGTTCGATTATAGAACGATTGTAAAAGTTCCAGAAAATTGATCAAATTGAAAATAGTTCGTTTGATTCTCAGCAATTCTCATCATTCTCGGCGGTAGGTGTTATATAACAATTACTATGGTTGTTGAAATACTGAATATAAATGGGGTTTGCTTGCAAAACCTCCGCGGGCGAAGTCGCGGATAACAGCTAGTATAACAATAAAATAATATAGCTATAATTTATAACTATAAAAACTATATAGCTATAAATTAAGTACGTATATTTAAAAAGTTTTTTACATTTACTTAAGTTTATTTTTTACTTTCCCGGCTCTGTTATATAAAACAAAGAGAAAATATGGCAATCGGTCAAAAAACGACCCCCCAGATTTTTACATTTTTAAACTCAAGGGATTTTGAAACATTGAGAAATGCAAGAAAATTCAGGGGGTAATTTCTCTATTTATGGTCATTAGTGTTTGTGGGGGGAGACGATTTTGCTCACCCTGTTCGAAGCTTAATAACTCCTGTGCTTTTTGTCGAAAATTTCTAAAATTTTGCAAGGTTTGTTTATTAGGGGGATTGGTGCTATTAAATTTTCGTGGTTAAAAGTGGAAGGGTGGGAAGATAATGGGGGTCGTGTGTATTTCTAGTAGTATTTGGATTTAATGACGATTATGTTCGTTATTAGTATTTACAATTTTTTATAAAATTCATCCCTACTCTCAAAATTAACGTTTTTGCCATTTTATAATAGTTAAAAATATGAAAATTTTAAAAATAAAATATGATAAAAGACGACGCCACTAAATGTTAGCCGGGAATGTTAAGGAACTAGTTGCTGGATTTTTTTTTATCTTTCTGTCCTGTTGAACTAATAACTTGACAGTCACGAGCAACCCCACGCCCCACAATCCCCGTAGCTTTGGCAACGTAATTTTACTTTCCTGTTTTCTGTTTCGTGTCATTATGCATCTCTAATTAAGTTGATATTCGTGACGAAGAGCATTTAAAATAAACTTGACAGTAAAAAAAACGAGAAAAAGCAATAGTGTATACTATTAGTTTGTATATCATTAGCATATGTTATTTTTGTACGTACTGCATTGAAAATTATGGAATATGTTGGTACTTTGCGGGCTTAATGCCTGCAACTCCGTAAGAAAAATACGTATGCAGCCCGCCGGAAGTCTACAAAGTTCACTTCCTGTGAACGTTATTCATCCAGAAAAAAGGCCACATCTCATAAAAACTAAAAAACTTAACTTAGCATTTTCTATAATAAAATTAATGTTTGAAGCAAAAATAGAATTAAAATTATAATAAATAAACTGTATTAATTTTAAAAAATGTGAAACATTGTTATAAATATATAAAAGTTTATTTCAATTCTGATAGCCTAGAAGGTAGATTCTATGTACAATAATTAATGAATACACTAAGTTTATATGAACTTAGATATTAAATTAATTATATATTTGTTATAGTGGCTTCCTAAAGAGCTTTACAAATTCTAAATAATATATAAAATAAGAATTTTTAATATGCTGTAAGTATTATAAGATCTTTATTTTGAATAATATTTATTTTGTACGTTTATATAAAAATTCTTTTACGCATTACACATTACTCATTACGAATAATGCATTACAAAACTATACAGAATCATAGTAACGAAAATGTGAACATATTGGGCTGCAATTTGAAGAAACTGTAGACCTATAAATTTCCACTGTCATCCGTCTGTCTATCTTTTCATTCTTAATCTCAAGAACGGTATTAGATATATAAAATTCAAGACCAGATTTGGAAATATTAAGGGCAGGAGACCCCGATTAACTGTATGCAAATTTCCGATTTGCATCGAAAGTCACATTATTTCAATTTAAAAATTTTCTTCTAAAAGGAGTTATATATATGACCGGCACGACTCCATTGCTAACAGAAAAGTATAATGTACAGTACAGGGGCAAGACACTACAGTACTAATTTGAGGTGGAGAGCATATATTTTAAATGAAATAAATTTAAAAATATAATTAAAAATTATAAATGATGCCACAATAAATAATTGCTCGTTTATTTTATTATTTAAAATAATAATCTACTAAATCATCATTTTATTTAAGACTGTTTACTATTAATTTATTATTTGAATATTTGCTACTATTCATTAATTTAATATTTATTTTTATAAAATTTGCTAAATATTTCTAATAGAAATAATAGTATGATATGATTTAATAAGTTTTCATTTTAAAATGAAAAGAATTCAATGGGAATAGAATTGTGGAAAACATAAAATAAGGAGGAAAAATATGAATAGAAAAGTTTATAGAATATAAAAAATACATAAACTTATAATTTAATATAAACGATTAGTAATAAGCCTTTTTAACAATTATATTAAATAATATATTTCTTTCTACTCTATTGTTAAATATAATAGAGGAAAACTATTTTTTTGGTATTTACCAAAATGCCAAAATATTACTGATATATATAAAACAATACTTCAAAATCGTGTCTTTGATCAAGTGAAACTGCTGGTTAGTAAGTAATTTTATTAATAATTACGATAACTTTTTTCCGAGAGATTTAACATTGTCATAAATTTTGGACCAGAGAACAATTATATTAATTATAGTTTTGTCATTATTTAACAAGTATAATGATAAAATATATACAGTAAAACCTGTCTATGGCGACCACCCACGGTTCCTTCAAAAAGTGGTCTTTTAGACAGGTGGTCGTTCAATACAGGTGGTGCTGTAATACCGTATTTCCGTACGTATTTTGCGCACTTTTTAGCCATTTCTACTAAGCAAAACTCGAGGTGAGCAAAAATAAGCGAATTTTTTCAACGATATGGCTATGTTGGTATTTTATTCTTATCGGATAACCCGATTTACAGTAGTCGTCATGATATTATAAGACAGATTTAACACCAATATTTTAAAGATTAATACAATACTCGCATTTTCTCGATTATAATGCACACTTTCTTTTTTCCGACTTAATTAATTCGACTCGGTTCTTTTCGTTCGCTCCTCAGTTACGTGTATTACGTCATCAATATACAAGCGCGTCCTATCTCTCCATCACTTTGCTTTTGGTTTTCGTTAGTTTAATCTTATTTTAACTTTAAAAATACTGTATTTTTTAATATTTAATATTTTCTTAATTAATTAAGTACAATAAGAAAAATTATTAATTAATAATAAAACGATTTTATTATTTTTTCTCATTATACGATTTCATTACAATCGCGGAATCGAAAAAGGAAGTAAAACTGATTTTTGCATTAATGCGTTTATTGTTTTTTGAATATTTTGCCTGCGAAAATTACTTGGATATTATTTTTCTAAAAATATCGTGGAAATAAGGTAGGTTGATACAGAAACTATTTATCGCACGTGTACTGTATATGAGCTTCAAAATAAATAAATAAAAATAGATTTTATCAAACGATGAGATCAGCC